ATATTTGGTGGCAAGATACTAGTTAGGCTTGATTCCTAGGTGTAGAGAATGTAGATGATTTTATAACTAACAAAACGCCAATAAAGAAATGAAATGCACAAATTGCTTTAAAATTAAAAAAAAATATAAGAATGTTATTATTTTTTACAGAAAATGTGAATAATGTAAATGTATTTCGTATTGTAATGAAAACGCAACGCAGTCCTACCACGTACTGAACGGTACTGAAAAAGCGGTAACACAATAAAACTTTATGCGACATTATGGTTATATTTACGTATGTAAAACAAGGAGCCTAATGCGTTCCCTTTAAAATAATGAGACACTAAATCTATGAATATGTTCTTTTATTTAAATTGGATCGCCATTTTGAAAACGATGTTAGGCATAAAGACACGCCCAATTCGATAGAAAAAATACCAATAAGACTTGTACAAAATTAGATAGATTATATCAAGTAAATAACATAAGTAGTAGAAAAGGCTAGAGAATAGGAGAACAAGAAGATCAAAACAAAAATCCAAATTAAAATGGCGAACCAATCAAATAGCTTCGAAGTAAATGAAATGAAACCACGCGAATCATTTAGAAGGAGGAAGCGAAATTGCGGTGAATTTACGAGAGCTATGGAGCCGTCCATGGACAAGGTTTATGGGGCATTATGGGGTTTATAGGCCATTGAAACGCATTGGGGAGAGAATCCGGGGCGTAGGCGCGGAATGATTTTCGAATTCCCAACACCTGACCATGAAAATCAAGTCAGGGGTGGTTTGAACAATGCAAGGGTGAATTTTGGAGAACCTGTGACTAATTTGTTTACAGTGAAATTAGTATTAAATGGCTTCGTTCCTTTGAATTTTGGCATTACTGTAGTCTTGAGTCATAGTGACGAATCTGTAATATGTTAAATACAACAAGGTAAAGTGCAGTGATGAATACAACCTTATATCTATAGTTATAAGTCATAAACGCTGTTAGCAAGTAAAATAGGTGTGAAAGCATTTGCGTTAGCTTTTTTAAGTGTCCAAGCTAATGCATATTAATGGTATCCTAACTTTATATTATGTATGACGCATGTTGTGACGTCATGGTCGTTCTACTCCTCGCTTTAACACCCTCGCAATGTGTAGACGTGACAATGAACTTGAAAACTAATGCGGGATTATTGTATACGAATCAGATATGGAATTTTATGAGGATCGATATATTGTCAACTTGCTACCACCCGCGGCTTCGCCCGCATGGTATGTGGATAAAAAGTAGCCTATGTCCAATTCCGGATCTACTGCCTTTGCCAAATTTCATTTAGACCCGTCTAGCCGTTTTGGCGTGATTGAGTAACAAACATCAAAACAACGTAATTTTCGCATGTATAATAGTACTAGTACTAGTAAGAAGTAAGATGAAATCTATTTAGAAAACCGTTTAGAAGCTACCAATGATATAACTAAACACACATTATTAGATGATGTTAAAGAAAATGCACGGTTTATTTGTAATCTACACGCAAATTTTAGTGACAAGCAAGATACTAAAGCACAAGCTACCAACACGGAGACTGGCACACCAGCACATTTCATCGTTTGGGAAAGCACACCAAATAGGAAATGTACATAAAATTTGTACGTAACGTGGCAGTTTAGCACTAACGAGGTCCTCACTCGTTAGGCGAACGTAGTGCACAGAAATGGGAGCTCCCTCAACTGTGACGCCACATTCAGACCGGCTGGCGAGCTGTTAATAGGCGTAATTGGTTGAGACCTCTTTACTGAGACGTTCCAAATGCAATCTAGAAGCGACGATGTCGATTTTGCTGTTGAAAATGTTGCTTGTGGAATTTCTTAACTTAGAATTGTTTTGGTTGTAATAATTGAAGCTTCAGTTACTCTGGCATACACAATTTTATCACAATCAGTCTTAAGTTCAACGATCTTTAAAATAAAACTAGAGACACGTAGTCTGGAGGGTTTTGAAAACAAATAACTCCAAACTTTTAAGTCGTCGCAATATATAGTCATTGCTTCGAGTACATTAACTTCAGAAATCTTAAGAGATTTTTATTGTAACATACGATTTAGTAATTCGTAAAGCACAAATTGAATAAAAGATCAAATTCTTCTCTTCTTTTTATCAAACAATAGATCTTAATTTTTTGAAAGCAATCCTATTATAGTGTGAAAGAGTAAATGTACAGACAAGGGTTCTCGTTAGAAAATTAGGAGGTCTTTTGCTTCCATTGTGAAAAAAAATAAAGATGTGTTTATATAAAAGCTCAAATTTAAACAATGTCCAAAATTTACTTTCACTAAAGACCGTAGAAATATAGTGTACATGTATGTATTACTTAGTAGCAGTGTAAATTCATTAACTTCACTTCGATAACTGTAAAATGACCTTTAGTGTCAAACTACAAAGTCGTAAATCCAATGAAGAAAATATACTGTGTACGCCTTAGGTAATAAATTTAAAACTTGCCATGTTGAAGTATGGAGCTCTTCACATGAGCGCAAGGCTTTCCCTCGAGATATTTCTGTAGGACCCTTGAAAATTAGAGGTTATTTTTTGTAACAAAGAACTTTGTTAATAAGTTGAGGTTCTCCTTTACTGTGGATATTTTGAGAATACCGTAGAATGTTGAAATTAAACACTACTGGAAAATTTATGTGGGGTTCTGACCTAATTTTGACGAAATATGGAAAACTGCGGCCTTTTTACCAGAGTAGATTAGAGGTCCCTTGGAATTTTGGGGATTCCTTTACATAAGCATAAATGTGTTTCGGTGATATATTGTATTAACTTTGCCTTAGTTTAAACATCCCTATTAGTAAACAGCTCGATTGATTTCTGCTGACATTGCTGCCTTGTAAGGTTTCGTACGCGACCTTCTAACATTATACTGCGCATTTTTATAACCGAATTCTTTAAGATACATTTTTTTGGTATTTATTGCGAATAACAAAAACGTTATTTAAACTTTACTGTGGTTTGAGAATATCCCGAAAACTGAATGTACCATTACTAAGAAACAGGTTCACAATCTTCCTACAAGAACCTGAAAAATTATGTGTTACATAATAAATACAACATTTAGTTGTATTTAAAAATCTACTAAATTGTAGCTATCTACACATTGTGAAATAGGTTCTAAATAATTTACTCATAAACATTCACATTCTCATAAATAATATTCAAAATTAAAATTTTTATTACAATACCACATCAAGGAGTCTTTCCAGATCTTTCTTTTTTTTATGGAATAGGAGGCAAACGAGCCGTCGGAACACCTGGTGTTAAATAATAAATATGTATTATGCCAGATAGCCCACTTTTATTATTTGACCAATCTCATTACAGACTTTTCAACAACAAATAATACTTATTGGTTCCAAAACTCTTTTCATGGAAAAATCCTTTTGGAAAAGGGCATTCAACTGTTCTTAGGAACCAATTTGTCCTCATTAAGGTTCCTTTCATTCTCATAAGTAAGCGAGGGCTAAAAGGCGTGGTTTTACTGCAATGTAAAAGTCACTCTTCGTTATCTATGACTGCGTGGACAGTAACTAATTTAACAGCCTTCCAAGGTGACCAGGCAAATAAAAACTTAAGATTGAAGAAAAGATAAGAACAGAATGTAATTAGTACAAAAAAGGACTTGATTAATTATAACTTTTTATGTACTTTTTCTTAGTAATTACTAAACGAATATTTGTATACCTATGCTTATTAATAATTTGTGTGTTTGTTTAGAACCTATCGTTAACACTTCTCTGCATTATCATTGCGTTTGACTGGTAAAGAATGGCTATGGGCATTAAGTCCGCCTTTGAATTTATTAAGTACTCTTTGAATTTTAACACTTTATGTTAAAAAAATGTAATATTTTGGCTGTTTTGTAATTAACTCCATGAAATAGGGGGGAAACATTATCAATATGGTATAGGCGAAATGTCACAAATGTCATTTGTCTAGAGGACATGATCGGCATAATTATATATATATAAATTAATGCCACTTTTCATTGTAGTGTTATAACTCAATAATGCCTTTACCGATTTGGCTAATTTTGGTCTTCAATTATTCGTGGAAGTCAAGAGAAGGTTTGTATGTAGAGAACATTTAAAAAAAAATCTTAAACAGTGTAAAATCGACATTGACAGAGCCGCGGGCGACCGCTAGTTATCATATACAAAAAAAATATGAAAATCAATATTAACCCCCGTCACTATCAGGTTAATATTCAGACAGAAAACATAATAAGGTAGGTACATTAGCGGTCCTAGACAATGTAATAGTTATTGTGTCACTGAAAAGTCGTTAAGCTGTGGTTTATCTAACCTTGAATATATATGTTATATTGGATATAATAAATCAAGCTTATAGCACTCAAAACTAATCGTATGATAATGTAAATGGCATAAGATTGATAGTTTTATACGTAATACTGTTCGAATTTATCTGATTTTGTTTCAGTGTGCTCTTTTAGATCTTTACAATGAAACAATGAATTTATTTTTGCAAATAGGCCATAAAACGGCACTTTTACACGTCAATTTGCATGTGAAAAACTAGATGAAGCCGGTATTTTCTATCTGACTACTCTGAGAAGAAATGCCGAAACAAACTCAGAGCTCAGTCTCTTTTCAACTCCACAAGTTTATTTAAATTGGTTGATCATGATACGTAAGATTGGGTCTATACTCGTGATCATAATTATAATCTCTAGTTTAAACATGGCCGGAGCTAGGCATTTTGGAGTTATAGCTACGACAAAATATTGTGCGAACTATACTAGTGCCTTTTATTTCTTAGCATTCATTTCAGAGGTAACTAGGCTTTGCGTCTATCAGGCTTTTAAACCTCCAAAGAAATTATGACTCTTTTCATCCCCATAAACAGATTTTTTCTTTTATTCATAATTACTTAATCACTTGTGAGTTTGAACCGTGTCTTCTTAGAAGACCAGTAACGAAAACTGTGAACTTTAAAGTTGTATTTCTTACCTGTAGTATTCCCGGACATCTCAATGATGCATTTGCATTCCCGGGCGATCTCCCGGGAGTTGAAGGGACGAACCCTCACTGCCACTTTTACCGACGACATGGCGGCTGTGGCTTTTGATTCGCTCGTCAACCACTAGTGCATCGGTACGGGGCCGGATTTACAACTGAAACAAAATTATCAAATCAATATATGAAACTTAAACCTAAATAACCTTTAAAAAATTAAACATTAGCTTCAAATTTTACAGTATATTTTGAAAATCGAATATGTCCGTTTTTATCCGTTACGACGATTCCGATATATACTTAATAAACTTTAAATGTAGACTCGCTTAAGATTGGGATTCAACAAAGAGGATGTATACTCACACCCTGACTCTTTAGAAATTTTTAAAATAACTAAGGGAGGTTTGTGAAACTTATTTCAAGGCCTTCCAAATGAATTAATTTACCGCATAAACCCTTCAAAACTTTGACAGAACAAAAATGATTACACCAAAAAAACTGTTTTTGAAATAATACATTTTACAAATACGCTTCTCAAAGATTTACTTTTATCTAAAAGACAAATTATCTGTATAAAACGATCCCGAATTCATTACATTGAAATACAAAAGTAAAACTAAAGATATTGAAAATATTTTGAAAGTTCAACGCATAGGTCATTCGACTATTGACCTGAGTTGTTACTAAGGACAAAAGAGGCTTGAACTTAAAATAAATTAGCCAAAACTATTCACAGGCACTAAAGTCAAGTAGCCATTGAACGAAAATGTTGATTTAATAGAAACCTAATAATGTTCTGAATAAAATAAACGATTTTTATATTTTTACTAGCGACCCGCACAGGTTCGCACGGGTGTAATGCTGATGCTAAATTTCTCCCCAGTTAATGGATGTTATTATACATATAAACTTTCGTCTTTAATCACTTTATCTATTAAAACAAACTGCATCAAAAACCGTTGCGCAGTTTTAAAGATTTAACCATACACAAAGATATAGGGATAGAAAAAGCGAGTTAGTTATAAACGATGTAGTGATTATGATCTGGGATCACCTTTAGCAGATGATGAAGGTCATTCATCAATCACCTAGATATAGATAAAACCCTGTACCAATTGTAACCAAGAAGACGAGAAAGAGAATACGGTAGTTTCCAACTAGTCAAGTTCAATACTTTGATCAAAAACGATACTTTTCTTTAAAATTTGTATAAAACACTGAGTTATGACGTCAACGACACTGACTGTATAGTCGACAACATTGAACTGGAGACGCGGTTGCCATAAGAAGAAATTAAATTAAAAAAGAGAATTCTAAAACTACGCATCAACTGGTCCTTGGATCTTCAGATCGTTGGAATTGAAATAAAAAGTCGGGAATGCTACGAAATATTCGTTTAAAAGGGGAATAAAAGTCGTAGAATCGTGGCATAATGAGGTTGTCGCGTGGGAGGGTTGGAAAGCAAACGCCAACTCCTCTAGGCGATTTCACAGGCAATAACAATTATCAAGCTTTCTAGTATATTTCCGTGACGTCATCGAGACGATGTCGATGGCATTCGAGCTCCTAATCCATTTGAATTAAGGGGAGGAATAAGATTATTTTAATGAGGGTCTGCTTCTTGTTTCTGTTTGGACGAAATTTTTAGATGTTTCGTTTATTTGCTTCGGTCGTCAAAGATTTTGTATTGATGACTTCATTAATTCAAATACTAAGATCAATGCTACCATATTTATTTCATTAAATGAGTGGAGTATGTTAATGTCAAGTGTTTGTAAGTCATTAAAATGTTTGTTTATTTACCCTAATGATTTCGGTTTCATCAAGCTACGGTCTTGTACTTAATGAAAACCTTTTCAATGTTATGTTGACCCTTCCCGGTAATTGGTATTTAATGACAATGTAATCGGTTTCGAAAACTTCATAAAACCTTTTTTTCAATATGGCTTTTTACGTAGATTTTGTTACGGTACATTTTTTGCGTCAACCGTTCGAATGTAACTGCCCGTCCAATTTAAATTAAACGTCTTGGCTCGCGCATGCGCCGTGACCGCTGCGCGTGCTTTCTCAGCTGATCCGTTTTTTGCCGTACAATGGATTTAAGTAGTTTATTGTGTTAGTAATACTAATGTCAAGTTATAAAATACAAATGATGTGGTAATGTTGAATAGTATTGATGTTTCGAAGAAATGTTTTTATTTTTACATAACTATGCGTAATTTGTGCGTAATGTTCGACACGCATAGTTTTAACGTAACATCTTCAATTAATTAACATAAAAGTAATTGCTTATTTATCTGACAGAGATAATTGGGTAAAATTGTTTAACAATTTTTAATTAAAATTAAGATTTATCGCTTAACATTTGTTGAGAGAAAAAGAAAAATTCCATTGTTATTGAAGCATACAAACTCAATATTTTACAAGACAACTCATGCGGATTAAGTTATTCTCAATATTTATCAATTTAGTAAACAAATAGAAACGTTACCAGGTATTTTGATGTCTCCGATTTATTATGTAATTATGAAACGCAGCACAAACAATTACAAGATTCCGAATAAAGACATTCACTTGCACTATAGAACCGTATCACTGTATCCCGGCGGTATACGAGGCACAGAGTAGCAGGGAGTCATGACTTGGATCACAATATTCACAGTTAATCCCGCGAGCGGCGCGTACAAAATGGTGAATGTTTTCCTGAAAACGATCCTCGCGTGCTGTAATTGGCCGCGGTCGAGTGCGCACCGAGCGTATCGAAAGCGTCGGCCACCACGGCCGCTGCACTACCAACGCACTTACGTAACATTCACTGCAACAACATCTTCCGAACCCTCCAGCTAGCCTAGCATCGCAAACGAGATCGAAGGGGCGGCCATGAAAAAACGTGTCGCAGAGATGACTCACCGCGCTCACTAGCGCCACCTACAACCCTCGAGATCGCAGATCGGTATCCGGGAAAAGCACATCGGAAGCCTTTAACCTTGGGCACTGCACTCGGCACGATTACATAGGGCGTCAACGGATCCGCTACGGACTTACCCGAATCCCCGTGCGGTTGCGACCGATGGCGACGATCCGAAACGCGATTTCACAAGGTTTGTTTTCCAAAGAGCTGGTTGCTCCGTCAAGTAGCAGCGCCGGCCGACATGGCGCGTCGCGTGCGGTTCCGCGGTGCGACTGCGGCCCGCCGGCCGACTCGCCGGAGACCCCGCGGACGAGCATGCGCACGACGCTCCCCCTAGCCTTCGATCTAACGCCGCGCTGCGCGCACTGCTGACGCGCACCCTACACCGCAAATAACACAATCCTCACTAACCTGACCATTTCAACCAACCGATACTTCACACAACCCTGTTCCAATTGACACTAATTACTATTTAAAATGCCAGCACCTCATACGCCATGCTCTTTATTCCTAATAGCAAACGTCAACGCCGAAAAGAACCCTTTTGCGACGCAATCGTATTAGTGAAGGTTCGTCGCAGTCTCCGCCTCCCCTACACTCCCACATATGAAGCTATTTGCTCAAAAGCTTAGGGCGTGATGAATTATGGCGACGTCGTCTCTAAATAAACATTTCACATTGACAAAATATATTAAGGGTAACCAGGTACTTGCCTAATTGAACATGCAAACAAGAGGAAAGGATCGGCCAAATCTGGAATGGAAGTCGATGCGATCATTCTAGGCACGTACTCTTTGGCTCCAGTACCTACTCTTGGTCAACTTGATCGATGGGCTGTCTTGAATTTTGATACATGTAATTAAGAAGAGGCAATATTGTAAATTGAGTGCCTACATGTTAAAAGAGTAAGCTATCCATTCATGCAGTTCTATAACGCTTTATAAAAGCTATCTTTACTAAACAACTTGGAAACCAATCAATGTTCGATACACGGAAGAATGTTGAGTACTTAAATCCATCGATAATATAACGGCCTTAAATCCATCGATACTGTTTGTCGACGCCAGCAGACACCGTCAAACGTTTACTTGGCGAATCTTGGGTCAAAGGACCAGACGAATTACGCACTTACACCGTGTAACTGAACGGGCGGTGACGCAATTGAATGTATCGATTGAGTTTCACGCCACTATCTGGACCTGGAACCTGGCACGTAGACTGTTCAGCTTCAAGACTGATATTTGTGTCACTGGTATATATGGGCATAATTGTTACTTAGAAACAAATGTATCTTGTATGTCATTCTTGGCTATATAGTGTACACATAATATATTATTTCAAAGTTGGTATTTTCTATCATTTATTTCATAATACAAGTAATGAGTACATAAGCATAGTGAATTTACTACTCATTTTGAATCCTAATTTTTAATAGTTTTTTGACTAGCTTTAATAATATTACAATCAATATGAATAATAAAAAACAACTTAGTACTCGTATTGTCATTTCTTCGCCTATTTTTCTTATTCATTAAAAATGTTGGAAATTGTAATTTAGACTAACAAGAAACAAGAAATGGGTTCATGTTAGTAGCATTGTAGGTTTGCACGCGTTCTAGAAAGATGACGTCGCGTTTCAGACGCCCACGATTGCAGCTTGTGTGGGCAGCAGTAGGTTCTCGAAAATATGCATCATACCAGAACGTACCTACGTGTCTACTTAAGCTACTTATTATTGGAAAAGATTTTTAGTAATTATGTAGATTTATAGACCTTTCTTTTTAAATAAACTTCCTGAAGAATCGCAAATACTTTATAGGACCGGTTCGAAAAGCTATAGGTATAAATGTAAGCGTTTTCTAACACAGCATTAACTACGTATAAGAATTATTATTAGGTATGTATGAAACGACTCGCCACTACACAGATAAACCCAGAGAGGTTTGCATTGTGTGGCTACATTGTTATGCAAAGAAAATAATATGTGTCTTAGAAATAAAAAAAACTATAAGACGCGAACGTATGACATGCCTGTTGAGACCTTTTCTCAGACGTATAATTGAGCATTAATCACCACGGTTGCTCAAGGTGAATTAGCGATTTTAAACAAGTTATTATTTAGAAGTCTAAGTCACATTGGTACTTGCCAGGTTTGCCGGGCTTCCAGGATGCTAGAACGTATTGCACATGCCATTTTCTTGGTAACAAATTAATGGCTGCGTCAACTTCAGGGAAGACGAACTAACAAT